CCCGGCGCTGCGGGCCGCCCCCCTGGCCGCCCTGCACCTCTCCGCCCGCCGCCCCGCTGCCCGCGTGGCTGTGGTGAGTCCGCGGGACCGGCCGGGCCGCGCTAGCTGGGCCCGGGGAGCGCTGCGAGGTGGGCAAGGGGCGCATGTGTACGCACGCACCCTGCGTGCACATGTATTCATGCACGCACCCCCCCCCCACTGCGTGCACTTGTACATACGCACACACCCACTGCATGGACACGCAGCCATGCGTACACATGTATACACATGCAGAGTACACGCACACACAGTACATGCAGACATTGCATGCACATGGGGCCCACACACCTAAAGTACGTGCACACACATATACACATGTGCACACATAGACCAGCACATGCGCGCACGCAGATTTTTGCAGAGATACATGTGCACACATCCACAGAAGCACACACGAGTACATGCAGACAGTACACATGCGCAGACATGATGCATACAATACTTGCACACACACAAACGTGCAGACTGACACGTACACATGTGCAAACACAGGCAAACGTGTGCGCGCACACAGGCATGCACACGTACATGCACGTGTGTACGTGCATGCTCATACACAATCTAATTTTACATGCCAGTGCAGCTCCCTCTGACATGATGGGCATTACTGGTAGGGTGGGTGGGTTACACAGTAGGGAGTGGGAAACCTGGGTGGTAACAACGACTTCTAGGAAGTAAATAAGGTCAGAAGTTCCTTAGTTTCTCCCTTGATAGCTTCAGTAAGGTTAGGATCAAGAGCAGCTAAGGCCTAATCATGTCAATGAGGTAGAAATGCTGTCTGTAGCAAATATGATCAAGAGAAGGATGGTACAAAGGAATAGGGAATTTGACACTTGATGAAATGTGAAATGTGCAGTAGAAATGAAGGTGCTCCTATAATGAGGTACTAAGTAAAATAAAGGGAGGGGGAACCAGAAGGCATTAAAAATACTGAGAGGGAAAGTGACTGACAGGCTGCTTGTATATCGCAGAACATCTGTTATAGAAACAAAGATAAAATGATGGGGTTTGCTTGTTGTATGTATGACAGCAATAGACTATAAAAAGAAAACCCCAAAAAAGATCTGTAGGGATGGTGCAGAATGTGTATGGGCCAGAATCCTTTGGGGCAGGTTGACATGGGCATTTGACTCAAGGGTTGGATTGTATATGGCTAGAGAGATTTCAGTAGCATGGCTATATAGGTAGAAATGCAAATCTGGAATTGTGGAAGACCTTAAATTTCCGGTTACAAATGGGAAAATAAAGGTTACTAATAATGGTTGGGTTCAGGTATTCATCAAGTCACTGAACCAGCTGGAGGTAATGTATGAACATATTATAGAAGAGCTGGTTGTAGAAAACAACCTTGGATCAAGCATTCCTACATTGATTCACTTTTAAGTTTTATGGAAGGATCAACAACAACAGGTCTGTCATTTTTC